CCATCCATCCATCCATCCATCCATCCATCCATCCATCCATCCATCCATCCATCATGGCCGGAGCTGCTAGCTCTCCAGTGTTCCTGCACCTGCACCAACTGAGTGAAACGAGCGCGCATGGGAGGACTCGCTGTTGCAGTTCTTAGCAATTTAAAGTGACAGTTAAAAATTGCGTTATGAATATGGAAAAAAAAAAAAAACGTATACTAGTCACGTCAGCGTATAAGTCGCAGGACTGATGTCTATGCAAAAAATTGTGACTTATACACCGGAAAATACGGTAGTTGTGAAATGGCTCTACATAAATAAAGAAAATCAAATCCAATTGAATTAAAAGGGGTGAAAAGTAGAAAGAACTAGAAAGTTCCTGGAGAAACTTTGAGGGGGACTGCCACGCTGCTGCCAGTTTAAACCATTGATTTGACGGGACTGTGGGTTTTGGTTCGCTCTCAGCCACCACTAAACCACATTTCAGCTCAATATGACAAAAAGTCAAGGAGTTATTTCTTCTTTTAGCTAAGGCGACCATCTTGGATTTTTTCATTTGGATTCAGTATGTGATGCGAAACGTTTTCAGCTATAACCTCACCAAATTTCAACTATGTGTGATAATAGCTTAGTTAAAGCCATTCAAATGTCGTTTTGGTGGCCATCTTGGATTTTTGATTTGGATTTGGTATGTGATAGGAAACATTCTCAGCTTTAACTGCACAAAATGTTAGCTCAACATCTCTAAAATTTGCTGATTTATAGTATTTTTCCTTGTTAGCTCAGGTGGCCATCTTGGATTTTTGATTTACATTAGGAATGTGTGAAAACTCGCTCTCAGCTGTGACCAGAGCAAATTTCAGCTCAGTATCTCAAAGATTGACTGAGTTATAGCTGTTAGAGGCTGTTGAGTTCTGTCGGGTATTTTGAATGAGAAAAATGGCGTCTTTGTTAGCAAATTATGTCGCCATGGTAACTCAAAACGCCAGTAAAAGTAGTAGCACACATCATGGTGTCGAGCCGTTTGTTTTCATATAACAATTGTGGGGGTACACGTTGCGGTTCGGGCCGCATTAAAGTTGACGGAAGAGTAAGATATAAATCCAACAATGTTCAATCAGGTCATCTGGACGTTTTCTTTTTTTGCTGAGACGTTGCATCCTTCATCCAAAGGACTTATTCAAACCGAGAAGCCACCAAATAAAACTGATTCCCACAAACAGCATACTCCATAGTGAGGGGAAAAAACAGTTTGCTGGTGCTAAGATGGCCTCTGGGGCCCGTCCTCTCCTCCGGGGCCCGCCTTCTCCCTCGTCAACTCCTCTGAGACAGTCATGCCAATGTGGTCTCAGCAAAAAAAAAAAAAAAAAGAAACCGTCCAGATGACCTGACTGACCATTGTTGGATTTTATACCTGGATTATTGAGCATGAACTTTGGTGTTTTGAACCACTTTGGCATGACTGTCTCAGAGGAGGTGACGAGGGAGAAGGCAGATCCCAGAGGAGAGGGCGGGACCTGGAGGAGAGGGCGGGCCCCAGAGGAGAGGGCGGGACCTGGAGGAGAGGGCGGGCCCCAGAGACCATCTTAGCACCAGCAAACTGTTTTTTTCCCCATTATGGAGTATGCTATTAGTGGGAATCAGTTTTGTTTGGTGGCTTCTCAGATTGAGTAAGTCCTTTGGATGAAGGACAAAATGTGTCAGCAAAAAAAGAAACCGTCCAGATGAACTAACTGAACATTGTTGGATTTTATACCTGGATTATTGAGCATGAACTTTGGAGTAAGCTATAAAGTTAAGAAACCCTTGTTAGGTGGATAATAATAGGCGCATGCCTTATTAAAAAGATCTCATCTGTTTCAGTGGGGAATATATTTGGAAATAAAGTTGAATTTTTTTGAAAACGTTAAAAGACACAAAAACCAAAAGTCACGGCACTCGTCTCCTGAATGAGCTGAACTTTTTGATGTGAGAATGGCAAAAATATCACAAAGTGTACAGGAGTAGCGAGGTTGTGAAAAGGGCAAAGATAAGGACTGACTGCTGAATCAGCATTCACACAGTATATATAGATTTAGCAGAGCAGCTGTGCGTTAAGCAGATGTTGTAACGGAAAAGTTTCGAGTTTTCCATGAAAAAACCTACATAGAACGCTCCAGTTTGTTCTCAGTTCTGTTCATCTCCCCTGAACTCAGCAGTGGGACCGATCTTTCATATTTATTTCACCTTTAGCTTTTTTCTTTGAATTCTTTCAAAGGGTTCAGCCAAGGATAAAGTTATGAACAAAGTTAAGCTGCTTTGAGTCTTCTTTTATTTCCTTTATCTCTTCAGGGGATTTCCACACATGCAAGAATCGCTTTAATGAAACTACTCTGTTCTCATGTTCACAGAGCTTTCACGGTGACTGCCATCGCCCAGATGTGCATTCTAGGTCTGATGTGGGTGTTTGGGGCCTTCCTGTTTCATAAGGACATGATAGCGGTGGCATATATTTTCACAATCCTGAACAGCCTGCAGGGTGCCCTGGTCTTCGTCATGCACTGCCTGTTGTCCAAACAGGTAGGATTTAGTGGATGTTTGTGAGCACGGAGCTTGTGAAGCTAAATTAAATATTAGAGCAACCGATACAAACTAGAAACTTCTGTTTTTTTTTTGCAAAAGAATAACAAGAGTGCATTGAAATGCATGATGTCATTGCTGGATGGGCATGCCTCAGCAGACTTATTCAAACAGCTAAAATTTAGGCCTTAAAGCATTTGAAACTAATATGCCTCTACACGGGAGTCGCACAGGAAACAGGCGTCGTAGCATCATCTCCTGACGGTCGTGAACAGTTAGAAATATATAGTAAATGGAGGTAACAGGATGAAATAATCTGGGCGGTTCAAAAATGATGGAAGAGATAAAATAATGATGTTAATATATTAACATGTAGAATTCGTTCATTCATATTTCTCCATCTTGTTCAGTGTTTGATCTGAGTGAGAGGAGAATCCAGGTTGTCTGGTCTTCAGGCAAGGACTCATCCTCTGCGTTGTGCTTTCACTCAAAAAGAATGCAGGCGTGGTTGTTGATTTATTTATTTATTTTTGTATATGAGGCAGGAGCAGCCCTTCTGTCCACATGATGAATTGTCAAAAGCATGACTGAGGTGACCAGAGACAGTCTGTGCTCTCACCGTGCTTATCTTGACTGAACCACAAGGAAAATTAAATAGTTAAACAATTACATGCGTTGTTTAAATTTTTTTAAAATCGTTATTGCCAGAATATTGTGTAAACGTCAAATCATTAAACTTTAACCTTTTGTCTTTTCTTTCAGTTTAAAAATGGCATAATTAACGTCATATTAATAATGTTCCGTTCAAGTTCTAAAATCTTTATTATCCCGAAGGGGCAACTTGTTTCACAGTCAGTAGTTACACAAAACATTCGTACTAGACATTAACATTTAAATCATAACTGTTCAATGAGAAGAAGGCTGATCACTGCAGGGCTGAATGAGTTTTTCAGTCTGTTCGTCCAACATCTGGGCAGCAGATACCTGCGTCCAGATGGAAGCAACCTGAACTCACCATGGAATGGATGATCAGGATCTGCCAGAATCAGCCTGGCCTTGTTCACTGACCTCGTCTTGTGTAGGTCAGTGAGGTTCTGACATTCTCATAAAAGTAGAATCAACATTAAAACCACAGAGCTTCTGATAAAAATACATTCTCTGGGCCTTCTTACAGAGAGAGTTCACATAGGCGGCTGTGGCTGAGTGGTTCGAGCAGTCGTCCTCCATTGCACAAGTTGGGGGTTTGAATTCACCAGCAGTCACAGCAGTGTTCCTGGGCAAGACACTGAACCCCTCATCGCCTCCAATGTGTGTCCTATTGGTGTATAAATGCGATAAAGCACTGATTATTCTCTTTAGAATGATTTGTTCAATTAGTTTTGTAGAGTTCTAGTAGAGTGCTGTATGAACGGGTAAATGAGGACACAAATTTTAGTGTAAAGCGCTTTGAGTGTCTTCATAAGATAGAAAGGCGCAATATAAGTACAGTCCATTTACCATTTACATGGGGGTCAAAGGTCAGTTTGTCATTGAGAACAGTTCAGATATTTATATTGATGCACCACCTCAACAGCTTCACCGTTAATGACCACAGGAGCTGCAACTGAAGAGTCTTTTCTAAAATCAATGCACATCTCCAGTTCTTCTTAGAAACATTTAACTTTAAAAAGTTAGACTCACACTGTTCAGTGAAGTTCCCGACCACAGGTCCGGGGTCTGGGTCATCATTGTTGAGCAGGGACAGGATGACAGAGTCATCAGCAAACTTTAAAATGTGACGCTGTGGGAACTGGCTGCAACAATCGTTTGTATATAAAATGAATGAAAGGGGTGAAAGAACGTAGCCCTGAGGACAACCAGTAGAGGACAAAAGGGCATCAGAGGGAACGCTGATGACCCCGTTGGCCTTCACCTGCTGAGACCAAACAGTTAAAAAGTCCACAAGCCAACATGTGAGGCCAGAGTCGAGACCGTACATATATTAGAACTATTGTAATAAAAACAATCTTGAATGAGTTGAAATTGAAATACACACTAATTATAATAATAAGTGAAATAAAATCACAGTAGTTTGCATTTTCAATACACATTAATAACGAAAATATGTAATTCATTTGTAAGAGATGAGGAATAAGATGCATAGTGCAGTAGGAAATGATTTTCTTGATGTTCTGCTGCCGTCTGCAGGTGAGAGAGGAGTATGCTCAGTTCCTGTCCTGCATCTGCACACCACAGAAGAAGAGATACTCGGACTTCAGCAGCACAAATCCCTCAAGCAGTCAGTCACAAGTAAGGACTGTTTTCTCTGGCTGTGTTAAAAACTCCCAAGTGAAATGCAATTAATTATATTTATTGCCTTTTGATTCCATTTTAAATGTTACTTTTTAAAAGACTGCATTGTTTTCTGTTTTAACAGTAGATGAACCCTTAATTCAGCGGAAAACACTGAAATCAAAACTGTTTGTCTGCACTTTACCAAAACTAAAATAACTTTCTCTAATCTCATGATGTGTCTTTTGCAGGGATCTCGGAGCGGACAGCTCACAGGAGAATCCCACATATGAAGAGCTCAAACTCTCACGCCGCCTCAGAGACTCACACACTCACTTACACAGTCGAGGACAAACATCTAAACGTTTGAATCACTTCAGGAAATTAAACATCTTTTCAAAACGAGGGGTTCTCTAACCTGCCATTTTAGGAGATTTAAGTGTTATTTATTAGGCAGTGAAGGGCAAAGACTTAATAAAAGAGTTGAAATCACAAGAAAATGATTAGTTTGTGGTTTAGGTTTTATTATCAGAGTTAAAATGGATTTAATCGTAGTTTTTATTTTTTTCGATCCTAATGCCTAAAAACTAAATGGGACCAAATGGGACCAAAAATAAGAAGGGATATTTATTTATTTATTTTACTTAATAAAGAAATTAGCAGTCAAGACAATAATCATGTTGATAAAACATTTACTGAAGAATGGAGAACAGCTTCCAACAGAAGAGAAAAATATATATTTTGTGATAAATGTCGCCCCCTGCTGTCCAATTGATAGAATGCAAACTCAAGACATCAAAATGTGCAACACAAGTTCAAAAAAAGTTTGGACGTTGTGTAAAATGTAAATAACAACAGAATGTATGATTTGCAAATTTATTAAACCTATGTTTTATTCATATTGGAAAACAGTAAACACATTAAATGATGAAACTTTAAAAAGTACATTTTGAGTGGGGAAATTAAGGTGTTTTTTTAATTTTATGGCAGCAACACACCTACAAACTGTTAAGACTTTGTTTACCACTGAGAAGCTTCCTCTCTTTTTTTGGAGGGGAATGTTGTTTCATTCTTGACCCCTGTAAGATTCCAGCTGTTCAACTGTCCTGGGTCTTCTATGCTGGACGGGACAGATTACGATGTCCCTCTCCTCTTTAGTATGGAGGACGTGGTGTCCGTGGTTTACACAAAGAACTTTGGGAATTTTAAATTCGGACTCGTCTGACCACAGAACAATTTTTCCATTTCGCCTCAGTCCATTTAAAAACAAAACAAAAAAAAAACGCTTGGGCTCAAAGAAGACCGCAGCATTTTTGGACGGTGTTCAAATATGGCTTCTTCTTTGCATGATAGAGCTTTAAGCTGTCACAGGGAGCTGTGTTTATGGTGATTTGTGGAAGTGCTCCTGATCCTGCGGAGTGATGTCCAGAACAGAACCCGAGGCTCTGAAGATCATTCGGTTTATCTTTTGACGATATTATAAAAACTGTAGCTGATGGAATTACAAAAGTCGTACCATTTCTTTTTTTTTTTGTTAAGGAACATTATTCTGAAATTGTTCCATTATTTTTAGATGCAGTTTTTAGAATCGGTTAACCTCTGCCCATGTTTACTTCGGAGAGATTCAGCCGCTCTATTTTTATTATTAAACCTTTATTTTACCAGGAAGAAATCCATTGAGATTATTAATCTCTTTTACAAGGATGTCCTGGGACCCCTCTTTGAGACCCCTGCGACCCAAAAATGAAGAAGTGGGTAAAAGATAATGGATGATGGTTCCTGCCTCAACTTTTTCAAACTGTGTCGCTGCCATAAAATTCAAACTTATCCTAATGATAAAAAAGTACAGTTTCTTAGTTTACAACAAAGTTCAGTCAGGTCTCTTTTTGTTGAACCGTTTCACCTTTCATCCAAAGGACTTCATCAGTCCAAACTCAGTCTTATAAACAGCACCTTCACATAGTGGGTCAACCAGCTTGATGGTGCTCCGGTGGTTTCTGGAGTCCGCCCTCTCCCCTGCCGACTCGTCTGAGGCAGCAGAGGAAGCTGTCAAGTTAAAACAGTTGAAATGTTTACCAAGTTCTGTCGTGAATTCAGTACGGCTTTAGGAAATTTGCAAATCGTTTCATTTTGTGTTTATTTACATTTAATGCGTCAACTTTTTTCAAAATTAAGGTTGTAAGCGCACCTCTTGAATTTAAGTTAATTTTTTTGTTTTACAGTAGTCCCTCGTTTATCACGGGGGTTCCGTACCCCCCGCAATAAGTGGAAAACCGCAATTAGGGATAGTAGTACAAATATTAGTAGTAGGAAGTATTAGTTTATTTTAGTATTATAGTTAGTAACAGTCCATGCAGCGTGGATTGTTTATTCAAAATGTTACAGTATTGAAATTGAAATTGTAGAGAAGAGAAGCGCAGCAGGACAGCAAAGGGTTAACCCTTCACGAAGCTGCAGCAGGAGGAGAAATGTGGGCGTGGCAGAGAGAGCCGCAGGTGGCAGAGAGCGGAGATCATGACAGGCTGCAGGAGGGAGCTTCTCCCTGCACCTGTGGGCTGCACACAGGTGCAAAATCATTTAAAACAATTTATTTTAAATAAACAATCCATGGCTCTCCCATCAATCAGCCAGTTGTGTGTTACGCCCAGTTTTAATTGGAAAAATTGTGAAAGAGCGAGTCCGCGAAAGTCTAAGCGCGAAGCAGCGAGGTACATATAACCTTTGATTTTAAACTTATTTACATCTTATTCTTTGGTCAAAAGAGTCTAAATCTAGGTTCTCTTCACTTTATCATTTCAAAATAAGATGAGTTGACATATTCTGGTTTATTTAATTAGTTTGTGTTTTATGACTGAAAATATCCATAAATCTATCTGCCAGTCCAGTGCTCATGACAAGATTTGATACTTTCCTCAGTCTTTGTGTGATCCTCTTCATCACTTCCTGTAGATCAAGTTCTATTAGAAATAGCTCTTTTTTTATTTTATTTTAATGTAAAACAACAGGATCAGATGTTGAAAGTCTTCATCCAGGAACTTTTCAAGATCAAGTGACGCTCCCGGAGGAGCATCCAGAGCATATCACAGTTAGAATATAAGCTGCATCACCTTTAGAGTTATTAAACGTTTCTTAATGATGTATTTATTTCAAAATGCAGATATTAGACGTCAGCATATGTATATTATAAGCGAATACTTTGCACTGTATGTTTTCTATATAAATGTTACAAAGGGTTTTTTTTTTTTTGGGGGGGGGGGGATAAAAGTTGTTTTCATGCACTGTATTTTAAAGTAACAGGAGGAAAAACGTTATTGCTATCGCTGATTACCCAGAACGCACCAGTTCTGCAACTTATCACAGTTTTCTCCTGTCCTTTAATGGAAAACAAAACAGAATCATTCATGGCTGATGTTAAAGAATCTGTACTAGTTTACTGTCGAGCTGTGCTCCTTTTAGGTACTCATATTTTTATAGGTTTTATAATATTTGTAAATGGAAAGTGTAAATGAAGTGGAAACAATCTGGGAGAAAACAACTATTTGGGTAATTAACGAAAACGGGCCCACCCTTCTGATAAGCTTGTAGCTTCCGGCCACTAAGCGGTGTTTGTCGAATGGATTTGTTCGAGCTGCTCGTCTGTGCTTCACAGAGCGTTACTGTAAGACTGAAAGACTGTGGAGCGACAGCTTCAGTCCTGGGATTTGTACAGTTTGTTTATTCTGTGAATGTTTATGAATCATTCACACTATTGTGATCCATTTATTTTCCATACATTTTTTTTTTTTTGGCATCTTTCTTGTTCCACAATTTTTGTTCTATTTCAACAAACCATATATCAAAACGTTAAGCTCGTTCAGGAGAAGGGTGATATGACTTTTGTTATTGGTGCAACTTTAGCTTTTAGAAATATTTGGCCTTTTTCTACCATTTATTTCTCTCATAGAAAATGAACTGAGCTCATTTTACATCCTTCACATCTTTAGATCTATTTACAAGGTTTTTCTGCTCTTTTCACATTTTGTTCTGGTTCAGCTTCTTTCAGCTTCCTTGCGCATATTTAAACTTTCTTCAGCATCTTTCTGCTAGTTCAGCTTTTTTCCCAGCTGTTTTGTGCTCCTTTCAGATTATTTCTGCTAACTACAACATTTCTGTGCTTCTTCTAACTTCTTTCTGCTAATTTCAACTTGTTATGCTCTTTTCAGCTTATTTATGCAAGTTTCAGCAATTTCTGCTACTATTTAGCTGTTTTATGCTAATTTTAGTCTTTTCAGCTAATTCCACATTTTTGCACTCATTTCAGCATTTTTCAGCCTAATTCAGTAAAAATGTGTTCTCTCCACCTTTTTCTGGTAATTTAAGCTACTTTCTGCTGTTTCAGCTACTTTTCAGCTGTTTTTTTTGTTTTTGCTAATTTCAGTTTTTTTCACATAAGTTCTACTTTTATGTTCTCATTTCTGCTTCTTTCAGCAAACATGTGTTTTCTTCTGCTAATTTAAGCTTGTTCTACCTTTTCAGCTACATTTTTAGCACTTTTTAAGCTAATTTCAGCTGTTTTCAAATAAATTCCATTTTTTGTGGCAATTTCTTCTACTTTCAACCTAATTAAATTATTTCTGCTAATTTCAGCTTGCCATGCTCCTTTCAGATTATTTCTGCAAGTTTCAGCTTTTTCTGCAATGTCAGCTACAATTTAGCTGCTTTTGTGCTAAATTAAACTTTTTCAGCTAATTCCACATTTTTTCAAATCATTTCAGCTCCTTCCACTTCCTTCATGTGTGTTTAAGCTTCTTTCTGCCTTTTCAGCTACTTTTAATTTATTTATTTGCTAATTTAAGCTTTTTTAAGCTAATTTTCTATTTTTTGTGCTAATTTCTGCTTATTTAAATCTAATTCAGCAAATATGTGTTCTTTCTGCTTTTTTTCTGCTCGTTATTCCATTTCAGCTACCACACATTTCAGCACATTTCAGCACATTTCAGCACATTATTAGCTAATTTCAGCAAGTTCTTTAGCAATAAGCCTTCACGCTGCATTTTTGCAGGAAATGCAATTCCTCTAGTTTTTATTCAACTCTTCCCTTGTAATAAAATAATTGCTGCAACACACGCTCACTCACATACAGTTCAGCAATAGCAAATGTTTTTGCATGTATAGAATCTAAATGGTTAGATGCAAAATATTTTAAATTTTTTTTTGCAAAAATTGATTAAATAAATGTGGGAAAAACATTATATTCAATTCAACTGAAGAAAAGTTTTTAAAATCAACCTTTATGTTTTGTTGGATTCGTCTCTAATTGTCTTATAAGCGTTAAATTTTTCATTTTGACTATTCGTGAGTTTAGCAGCAAAACTCTTGTTTGGTTTGTAAATGTGACTGAACCTTTCTCTTTATCAATTTTTTTTATTTCTGCATTGCAAAGTGTGTTTTATACTAACTATAGGTAAAACACATCATGCAAGCTTTTTATGAATGTAAAAACAGTAGCTGTTAGAGTGAAATATTATTATATATATGCTTATTTTTATACTTTGTCATGTTGTATACTGTTTGGTACTGTTTTCTTAAGAATATCCATCACTGAATTCATTAAAGTTCAATTTCATCTGAAAAACGCTGCTCTGAAGTGTGTTTTATGTACCGGTAAATATGTGTAAGATATTCATATTTAAAGACATTCCCACCAAAAGTTGAGTTTAGTTACAGTGAGTGAAGATTCACTTTCCTACAATCATCAAGAAATTATTTCAACATCGCTGCTGTGGGGAGTATCACAAAACTGCCGCCTTCAGACATTTCTGTGGGCGAGCATTTTAAACAAGTAAGAAAATCTTACAGGAGATATTTAACAATTAGTAGACAAATATTAATTATGGGAATGCCCCTTCTTGTTTGCTCTAGTGATGGACCAACTATGAGGTCAGGCAGGAATCCCTGTGAACTATGATGTTTGCAGATGACATTGTGATCTGTGATGGGAACAGGTGGAAGAGAACTTGGAGAGGTGGAGGTTTGCACTTGAAAGAAGAGGAATGAAAGTCAGCCGTAGTAAGAGAGTTCATGTGTGTGAATGAGAGGGAGGATGGTGGAACAGTGAGGCTACAAGGAGCAGAGGTCACAAAGGTGCAGGACTTCAAGTACTCGGGGTCCACTGTCCAGGAAAAATGGGGAGTGTGGTCAAGAGGTGACAAAGAATCCAGGCAGGATGGAGTGGATGGAGAAAAGTTTCAGGAGTGATTTGTGACAAAAGGGTGTCAGCAAAGGTCAAAGCCAGGAAAGATAACTTATAATGGCTGAGAAACAGGAAATATCTGATCAATATATTATCAATAATTTGATGGAATCTGCACAACTCTCAGTGAGGACTCACCGCCGGACCAATTAGAGTACTTAGATCAAGCTTTGAACATCAGATAGATAGATAGATAGATAGATAGATAGATAGATAGATAGATAGATAGATAGATAGATAGATAGACAGACAGACAGACAGACAGACAGACAGACTGACTGACTGACTGACTGACTGACTGACTGACTGACTGACTGACTGACTGACTGACAGACAGACAGACAGACAGACAGACAGACAGACAGACAGACAGACAGACAGATAGATAGATAGACAGATAGATAGATAGATAGAATGTAACCTCTTTTTTAACAGCATGATATGACTTTTTTTTTTGTTAATTGCCCATAAACATAATTTAATTGAATAATCTCATAGTTTATTGGGCACAGCTTTGTTTTACTTTTCCACTGTATTTCTTTCAGTAAATGTTATTTCTGATTTGAATGCTGTTTCTTAGGAATTTTAAGGATATTTTTTTCCATTTCCTGCTTCCTTAAAATGTCTTTTTTCTTCTTTCTAATCGGAGCTTGCACTTTTGCCCCGAAGCTGCAGAATGACTCTGCACTGTGACGCAGACACTATGAGTTGTAACCTGTGTTTTCTGCTACAGTATGTGCTGCTTATCAGACATTCCATGTCTGACAGCTGCTCTGTCAACATCTGTTCTGAGCGGATCCTCCTATCTGCAGGCGTGCGGCAACTCTTCAAGCTAAATTGCTGCTGTTTTATGTTTCATTTTCTTTCTGGAGCTTCAATGAAATCTCTGCACAGGTATTTGCCTCTATAGAAATGTAATATTTGAGGCAACTTCGATGCTTTTTTTTTGCTTGAGGTTGCTGTTTGTATCCGCACAGATGACGAAACGGGTGATTTGTGTCGTTTTGAGCCTGGTTGTTTTGGGTGCAGTCGGGTTTCTCTCCCTCCCCGGGCTCTGCAGCTTGGTGGCTGGGTTAGGGCTCTGGATGGGATCCTGGAAATATCTTCGTGTTGCTCTGCACACCATCAAGAGAGACTTGATGTACGCAAGTAGTTCATGTTTCTCTTAAGGCGTCACTTTTAAATTTCCCTCATCCTTCTCTTTGCCAGCTCCATTCCTGTTTTCAGCTTTCCTTCATTCCTTCATCACCTCTGTCAAACAGGTGTCTGCTTGTTATTAGACGAGTGAAATATTCCATGAATCGTAACCTGCAAAATAAGAGCACCATCCCTGCCTTGTTTGCTGAGAAAGTGATGCAGCATCCAGACAAACCGGCCTTGGTTTATGAGGCAACAGGAGAGGTGACAATGTTTATAATAACTGCCAAATCTACCCTGTTGGCTCCTGCTTTAAAACAGAAAAATAACATTTTTTTCCATCTTTATGTTCTTCAAGGTTTGGAGTTTTAAAGAGCTGCAAAAGAAGTGCCATGCTGTGGCTCATTGGGCACTGGAACAGGGTTGGGTGGAGGGAGACGTTGTGGCGTTGTACATGGAAAACCGTCCGCTAGTGGTGGCTCTGTGGTTGGGTCTGGCTATGACCGGCGTAGAGTCTGCCTTCATCAACTACAACCTTCGACAAGACTCGTTGCTGCACTGTGTCAGGGAGTCTGGAGCTCGGGCGATGGTGTTTGGAGCAGAAATGACTGAAGGTGGGAACGGTGCATGTGGAAGCTATCAGACCAGAAATCTGATCAGAAGTGCTCAGAATTAACTCATTTACCACTTACTTGTTAAAATAACGTTTGTATCTATCTACACAACTCATTAGGCTTTGGATTGTCTTTCAGCGGTGTCAGAAGTGATTGAGTCTCTGCAGTCCAGCATAGTTTTGTTCTGCAGTGGGGAGGAGGAGAACAAGGAGAAACTCTGCGGACCCAAAGCCCAGAATTTGGATTTCTTGCTGCACCGATCCCCCACACACCCACCCCACTACAAACTGAGGAAAGAATTTAATGGTAATGCTTTAGGGTGCATGTTATAACTGTGTTTCTTACTTTTAACCTACAAAGCCCTCAACTACCTAGCTCCATCTTATATTTGAGATCTTATTGTTCCATATTTTCCCAACATAGCACTTCGTTCTCAGACTGCAGGCTTACTCGCAGTTCCTAGAGTTTCCAAAAGCAGAATGGGAGGAAGGTATTTCAGTTATCAGGCTCCTCTCTTGTTGTGGAACCAACTTCCAGTTTCTGTGCATGAGGCTGACACATTGTCCAGTTTTAAGACTTTCCTTTTTGATAAATCCTTTAGTTAGGGTTGGCTTGTTATGCCGCCATAGTCTTAGACTACTGGAGGACAAATTGACCTAATTTCCTTAATGAATTGTTAAAATTGAATAGTTTTCATTTGATATTATTTCTATCTTAACACATGATCCTCGACCTGCCATTGTGTTTCTATTCCTCCTTCCTGTCCTCTCAAACCCAGCTGGTCAAAGCAGATGGCCGCTTGTCCTGAGCCTGGTAGAGTTGCATTCGGGCCCAAAAAATCCAACCCGACCAGGCCCCAGCCCTTAGCCATCTATTACAAATCCCACCCGACCCGACGAATTAACAGTAATTACAGGTCCGAACCTGAACACCCCCCACGCTCACCCCCACCCCCAGACATTTTTAATTAAGCTTTGACTGCCTATATAGTTATTAACAGTTGCCGGACGCATGCGACTAAATAAAAGGGGAAGAAGATCGGAGCTGAGGGGGTGTTTGTCCTTTCATGGCCGTCAAAGAGCATTAAATCCATGCTTCTGCCTGCATTCTGCATTATTCAGACACGGACCATGCTCTGACATGTTGGATTGGGATCTCACCTGTTTGGGTCGTTGGCTGCGTGCGTCCACTTAGTGCAGTGGCTGAATGAACGTCCATTTGGGCTTTGATGCCTGTCAGTAGTCCATCTAAAGCTTAACTGAACTTTATTTTAACCTCTTTCAAGCCCGGTCAGCGCGCAGTCAAATGGCTGCATGATTGTATGGCAAGCCATATTGCCATGTATTTGGATCATCAGCCACGCATGTCCGCAATCAAAAGCCCAACACTGGCCCGGCCCGCACATTAAGCACATTATTATTGCTCCAGGTTTGGGTTAGAAACGACAGCCATAGAGCTTGGTTCTGCTAAAGGTTTATTCCTTATGAGGGAGTTTTTTCTTTCCACTGTTGCCTCTGTGCTCGTTTAGGATGGAAGACTGCGATGAAGTGAAAACTCAAAGCAATCTGTTGGCTCCTCAAATAAATAACATAATTAAATTACTTTATATATATATAAATGTTGCTGTTCAGTGCCGAGATAACTTCTGTTGTGACTTGGCGCTCTATAAATGAACTGAATTGAATTATACATCATTCTTTTTATACATGATGCAAAAACGTAGTTGCAACATTGACCTCCTATTCAAGTCTTTGCCTGTCAGAGCAAAGATTTCCTTCTGTTCTTTTAATGAGTTGTAACCCAGCAGATGCGCTAAAACACCTGCATACTGGTACATGACACTTCAAAGAATTAGACAGTTTGCAATTTGTACAATATAAAGATTTGTTTGTAACTGCCTAAACACTTTTCAGCTTATCTCAAGTCATGCACGAGTTACTACAAACTTGGGTACGTATCATAAAATGTCTGTTGACTGGGTTGTTTGTTTGCTTCAACTTTGGTTTTACTCTACATTCTTGTGCCGTTACTCTTCAAGTCTTTGCTTGTTCAGCCTAACAGAAGAGAAAACAATGTGTCAAACGATGATGAGAGAGTCTTTCTGCATGCCACACGAGTTAAATTTTTTTAGGAAAAGATACTGAAAGCGCTTAAAGTTCTTTTTTTTAAGTCTCATGAATTTATGTTCTCCCCCTACAGACAAACTTTTCTACATTTACACATCTGGTACAACTGGAATGCCGAAGGCAGCTATAGTCGTTCACAGCAGGTGAGTTTATTTGTGTTATAAACTGGATCAGCTTGATGAATCAACCAGGCAATTTGATGCTGACAGCATTAAACTGAAGTGGCATTTTTGTTCTGTTTATTGCTGCATTTATTGGATATTTCTGATTTTATTTGCATCGTTACTTATCAGATATTAATAGCTTCTAAATAAATATTGCAACAAGAAAGAAAATCTATATCTGGCTGATTATTTTGCTTCTTGGCAAAAACTATCTTAAACCAATGGAAAGCCTTTAATTCCCCATAAATGTTTCCATGTTTGTGAGGAAAATGCATATGAGGGTTGAGCAGCAGAGCTGACTTACTAAATCTTAGCTAATAAAAGCAAAATCTAACTTACTCTGTTATGAACTCCTTTTTGTGCTGTTTATTAGATTGCATGAGTAAAGTCTGAAAAAACGGGACAAATTGGCAAGTAAACAATTTATTAACTGAATAAACAGTTGCCTCAGTAGCATGTGGAAGAACCATACACAGCCACAAATGCCTGGCATCGTCTCCTCATGCAGCTCAACAGCTTGGTCACACAATGGTGTGGGACAACATCCCATTCTTGAACCTGCATTTGAATTTAGTTTTAACAAATAAAATAAACAATATTTACAAAAATAGAACACAGTTAAATTCATCAGTTCAAACTGAAAATAAAATGATAAAAAAGTACAAGAAACCCAAATTATAAATGACACAAAACACAACCTAAAACCACAAGAAAGATCCATACCAAGTTAAGTTTAGACTATCCAGTCTTCACTTGGATGTTTAAAATATTTTATTTGTTTCAGTTCTAATGATTATACAGTAGTCCCTCACTTATTGCGGGGTGACATTTCAACCCCCCACACCAGCGATTGGTGAAAATCCGCAAAGTAGAGACGCTATATTTATTTTAGTGTTTATATATATTTTAAGGCTTTATAAACCCTTCCCACACTCTTGGAACATTCTTAACAATGTTCTAAACTCTAAATGCACTAAAAGAGCACAGCGAAAGAGAGCAGACTGATGCTACGGTTGCTGGGCCAATCGCGGGGGCGGACTTGCCATCGGGAGCACCGGGACATTTCCCGGTGGCCTGGCCCACTCAGTGATCGCCGAGCGGGACTAAAGGCTTGGTTCGGGTTGTGCTTGATTATTTTAAATAAACAATCCATGCTGCTTGTGTGGTTCACTCAGGTTTAAGACAGAACCCCCCTCCCCTCCTTTCTTTTTTCTAAGCTGTCTGTCACAGCAGATCAGAGACCCCGCCCCTCCTTTCCTTTTCCGAAGCTGTCTGCCACAGTAGAGCAGAGACCCCCCTCCTTTCTCTTTCTGAGGCTGTCTGTCACAGCAGAGCATCAGAAAAAAAGGAAGGGACGGTGGGGGTGTGTGTGTCTGTCTTATACCTGAGTGAGCCACATGAGCGGCATGGATTGTTTATTTAAAATAATCAAGTGCGACCCGAACCGAGCCTTTAGTCCCCCATGGCGATCAATGAGCGGTCCAGACCACCGAGACATGTTCCGGTGCTCCCAATGGCCATTGCACATTGCTCTAGTTGGTTGCCTTCCATCAATCAGCCAATCATGTGTCGTGTACAATCTTACGTTGAAAACCTGTGAAAGAGTGAGTCCGTGAAAGTCAAACCACAAAGTATCGAGGGACTACTGTAAAATGGTTTTATGAATAACAAAACTAGCTCGTAAGGCTTTCATTTACCGTATAGATCTTCAGGACTTGCTAACAAATGTTGTTGAGCTGTAATGATTTTTTGGCAATCAGTTTATTAATTTGTACTTGGCAGGTATTTTCGCATAGCTGCCTTTGGTTATCACTCGTTTGGGTTGTGTCCCAATGACGTCCTGTATAACTGCCTTCCCCTCTATCACTCTGCAGGTAAGTCCTGCTCCTGTCTGAACTATGCATTATAATTATTTTCATTGCATTTTGACACCACTTTTTTTTAATAATGTTTTTGCCCATGTTTGTGAGTGTGTTTGTTCGTAGCAAATTACCTCGTCAACCACTTGATGAATTTGAATGAAATTCTTGAAATTAAACATTAGCTGTATACTGTATCTATAAGGTCTGGAATCAACTCCATCCATTATGGCCACCACAGCTAAGCAGTCAGTAGACACAAAAATGGCTCTAACTTATCAGAGTTTACAGACATTGAACTAAAATTGTGTGTTAGCAGCTGGGAGTCATTCCCAAGACACGGTCTGAGCACTAACTGATTGTGCAAGATCTGTTTCAAAAACTTTAAAATTATTGGAGTCAGCTCCGTTTGTCCTTCCATCGCATTTTCAGAAGTCACTGTGTGAGGGACGGGGGACACCCTGGACAGGTCGCTAGTCCATCACAGAGGCACATAGAGAGAAACGAGACAATCACACAACCACCCACAACTAAGTATAATTAAGAATTACCAGTTACCAAGGAAGAAAATGGCGTACCCAAAGAAAATAGGTGGATTTTAATTAAACTTTTAGAAAGTAATCATTGCATGTACACCGACTCGTGAACTTTTGGAGCCAACTTAATTCAAGATTGACCTTAGTCAACACAAAAATGGCTATGCCTCTGTGAACTTTACAGAGAATGAGTTAAAACTTGATATGGTGAGACTCATCCACAGAGTATATTTAAATGCTAAAACAATCTTACAATACCACACACGCTTGCACATAATGTTATCATAATATTTGATTATAACTTTGTTTTTTCCATCAAAAGATAAATTAAAACTGGCATGAAGGGTGACGGGCAATGTGTATTCCTTCTATATATATGTTTTTTAAACATAGTATTGGTTTATTTTCCAGAAACTTATTAATTCAAACTTTATTTAGACAGGTTAATCCCATTGAGCCTCGGGGACTCATTTACAAGAGAGACCTGATTTCTTAACAAAGAGTGATGACAACAGTGGACAACAGTGACAACAATTGACAGTCATAAAATAGTCATACAAATGTAAGTTTCTCTCTCTTTTTTAACAAAGCAAAGCAAAATAGCAACCAAAAGGACAATCAAGAGAAACAGTAGCAAAAAAACAGCTAGATAAGGCAATTTAAAAAACTAAAAACGGGAACATGTCGGCATTGGTTTCTGCTAGGAACTTAACAGATGTTTGAAGCCACTCAAAGAGGTCAAGGTCGAAAGCTTTAGATCTTTTTGTAAGATATTCCAGGAAACAGGAGTGGAGTAGGAGAAGGCCCTTTTGCCAAGTTCAGTCCTGACTGAGGGAACACTGCAGGTAATAATGTCCTGAGAGCGCACGCTGTAGCTGCACTTACGCAGAAACATGTAGGAGGAGATGTATGAAGGCAACAGACCGAGAAGTGATTTAAAGATGAAAATGTACCAGTGAGAGAGTCTGTATAAAGTTAATGATGTCCAGTTAACCAGTGAATACAGGGTGCAGTGGTGGGTACAGTAGTTACAGACAGTTATGAATCTTAGTGCACCATGATAGGCAACATCAACATCTGCAGGGTGCTTGTAGGAGCATTCATTTAGATAATGTCACCGTAGTCGATGGAGGGAAGGAAAGTCACAGATACAAGGCGTTTCCTAGCATTCAGAGTTAGACAGGATTTGTTTCAGAAAAAGAAACCCAGTTTAACTTTGTTTCCTTACTAGGTTTTCCACATGAAGCTTAAAAGAGAGATGCGAGTCGACCAAGATACCCAAATATTTGTAAGAATTGACAAACTCAATAGGGACACCATTTGAGGATAAAATCCGAGGAAGAACTGCTGGGACTGACTTCCTGTCTGAAAAAAAAGCATTCCTTTGGTTTTATCGGCATTTAGGACAAGTTTGAGGCGGAACAAATCTGACTGGATGATGTCAAAGGCAGATTGCAAAAGCTGGAAAGCCTTAATAACTGTTTTAGCTCGACAATAAACAACTGTGTCATCAGCATAGAAATGTAAGGATGCATCAGGGATGCTCTGATATACATTGCCTATGTAGATTGTAAAGAGGGTGGGTCCTAAGACAATCCCAAGATTTATCTGGGTCCTGGGTCCTAAGACTTATCTTAAAAAATATGCCAAATAAGTTGCCATTCAACTTTTATTTATACGGGTTAGTCTCATTGAGCCTCGGGGCCTCATTTACAAGAGAGCCTGTTTTGAACAAAGAATGATGACAACAGTATGTATGTTTGCAGGCACCATCATGGGTGCGGGGCAGTGTTTGCTCTTTGGTTTGACTGTTGTAATCAGGAGGAAATTTTCAGCCAGTCGCTTCTGGGACGATTGCGTCAAACACAACTGCACGGTGAGGTTTTACAGTTTTCCTTTTAAATACTAGTCATACAAAAAACAGTGTCTAACAGTACATGTTTGCATGTGAATACCCAGGCGATCCAGTATATTGGTGAGATCTGTCGCTATCTGCTGGCACAGCCTGTTCGTCCATCGGAGGCCCATCATCAGGTCAGGGTAGCTATCGGTAATGGCCTCCGCCCGTCTGTGTGGGAAGAGTTTGTCCACAGATTCAGGATTCCAAAAGTTGGTGAATTTTATGGAGCGACCGAATGCAACTGCAGCCTGATAAACATAGACGGAAAGGTAAATTATTATGCACGGACAATGATCAGTGTTCAACATTTAGTTTTATGGTGCATGTGTTTACATTTAGGTGGGGGCGTGTGGCTTCAGTAGCCGCATCCTGCCTAACTTTTACCCCATCCGACTAGTCAGGGTGAGAGAGGATCGCAAAGAGCTTCTCAGGGATTCACAGGGACTCTGCATCCCCTGTCAGCCTGGTAATATCCCACACATACAAATGAGGCCACAGCAGGATGAACACGTGCTGATACATAATAATGTCTGTCTTCGCCTCTGCAGGGGAGCCAGGTATGATAGTGGGACGAATCATCGACGGTGATCCTCTCAGGAGATTTGATGGCTACGCCGATCAGGACTCAACCGGTCAGAAAATAGCTCACAACGTTTTCCAGATGGGAGACTCTGCTTACGTCTCAGGCATGTTTTATTATGTTTCTTTGAACGGTGCTGAGGTCATGTCTGGATCTGGCTGTGTTGAAACAGTGAGAATCAGCGTAAGAAAGCTGGATGACAAATGCATAACACTTGGATGTAAATGGATTTTGAAAATGTCTTCCCTGTTTGCCTCCCTCCCCTCCTGTTCATGATCGGACAGGCTTCGGCTCCTTATGAGGAGTAAAAACAACAAATATTGGGCCACTATTTTCATAATGGCGTTTCTTCCCCTAAGATATCTTGCCATGAAAAATAAAAACACAACATAAAATACTTTTATTTGTATTTTACAACTACACTCACCATGAAGTTGGAATGGTGCATAAAATGTGCATTTTAAAGTTTTTTGAGATGTTATACTGTCATCAAATTTGAATTATCTTATCTTTTTCAAAAATACCAAACCACTAACATCATCCAAGTCCCAAAGAGCTCTACAATGACTGGTCTGAATGACTACTGGCCAGTAGCCCTCACCCGCAGTCGCTAAATGCTTTGAAAAACTGGTCATGACCTACATTTGTACATCAAAACAACCATCAACATCAACGAGGACCATCACCATTACGCATACCGCGAGAACTGATTAACAGAGGATGCCATCTCCTCTGTGGTCCACACTGCGCTCATTCACCTCCATATGCTCTTTGTGGACTTCATGTCTGCCTTCAATACCATGATCCCCCAAACCCTGATGGACAAAATATTCTCACTAGGCCTAAGCCCCTCCATTTTCAACTGGGTACTAGACTTCTTAACAAACAGACCAGAGTCAGTGAGGATCCACAACTTCTCCTCCTCCACCATAACCCTCAGCACTGGCCCCCCTCAGGGATGTGTGCTGAGCCCTCTTGAGCCATCCAGGCTGTCGCATTGTAAAGTTAGCAGATGTTACAGAGGTGGTGGGATGCATCACAAACAATGATGACTCCAGCAAGAGGCAGGAGGTGGAACATCTGGAGAGCTGGTGCAAAGAGAATAACCTTCACATCAATGTGAAGAAGATGAAGGAGATGATCGTGGACTTTAGACAGAACAAACACACCTACCACCCAAACATTGGAAGAACTGCAGTGGAAGTGGTCTCCAGCTACAAGTACTTGGGTGTACACATGAATGACAAACTCAGCTGGGGCAACAACACCACCAGCCTGATCAAGAAAGCTCATCGGAGACTCTACTTCCTCAGACGGCTGAGACGAGCTGGTCTGGGAAGCTCAGTCCTCACCTCCTTCTACAGGTGTGCAGTGGAGAGCATCCTGTGCTCCAGCATCAACGTGTGGCATGGAGGCTGCACAGCTGCAGAAAGAAAAGCTTTGCAGAGAGTGGTGAAGGCTGCACAGAAGACTGTTGGAGTCAGTCTCCCCACCATCACAGACATCTACACCTCCAGATGCAGGAAGAGGGCCACCTGCATCATGAAGGACCCCACTCACCCAGCACACACACTTTTTGCCCCGCTCCCCTCAGG